CCAAACGTTTTTGTGAAAAAATTTTTCTTTTTTTTGCTCTCAGATTTACTATTGAAGACTGCCTTCAAAAAAAAAAAGCAAATTACTTTTTCTTTTCTAGGTATATTTCAAATAAAATATAGTATTTTTTCTTCAAATTGACGTACAATATCCTTTCAATTCCAGTATTTTTATACTCTTCTTTCCCTCCTCCTGCTCCCCCTCCTCCTCTTTTTCTCATTCTTTTCTCTCCTTTCCTCTTCTTTCTCCTCTAAGTAGTCGAAAAAATGCCTAGCATTTCTTTTAGTTCAATTTATTTGACGGCATATGACTACTGTATAAACGTTCAAAGAACAGCACATAATTTTACCATAAAGTATTGTCTGATAATCGGTAATGGCTGTCTGCAAATATTATTTGAAGAAACAAAAAATAATATTAATATATCTGTTATGAAAGATAAAATTGACCTTAGAAGAAGAAAAAAAAGACTTGCAAAACGTAACCTCTTTTTTTTTCTCCCCCTTCCTCCTCCCCCCACACACACAGTTTGATTTTTTATCTTCTTTATTTTTTTACATTATTTCATTTTTTTAAATTTATTCTGCTTCTATTCTTATAAATTTTTCTAAATTTTGTTTCGAATGAACATAAAAAAAGGCAGTTAAATGTGAAGCGAACAAAAAAAAAAAAAGCAGAGTAATTTGGTCAGTATTGAAACTAAATCAAAATGTTAAATAAAACTGTGCCAATTACATTACAATTTTTTCCAAACACTGTTTCTTCCCTTTTTTTTATTGTTTTAAATGTATTTTGTTGCCGTTATAACGACTTTTTCACTACTGTTTTTTGATTCACTAAAACAATGCTTGCTCATCTATTTCATTTATTTATTTTTATTTCAAATTTTTTACTTTTTTCTAGTATTATAACCTTTTATATTTGGGTAAGACAGCAGAAGCCAATTTTTGTAATAAATAAAGACAAAAGAAGGGAAAGGAAAGCAAAATAAAACAGACCACATACCGAAAAAAAACTGAATAAACAGAAACAAAGTATTGTTTTGCAATATTTAGATCAATTTTTTTTTCTATTTACACCTAAAGTTGAGGTATTCTTTTCTCAGTACAAAAAGCAATTAAACTTTCTTTTTTAACGTTTTTCTATTGTTCTTTGTCTGATTTTATGAGAAATGTTTTTAAAAGAAGTTGATTGAAAAAAAAAAAAAAACAGTACCCAGCCTGATCAGTACTGTTCAGCACAGACAAAGGGAAAAGACAATAGCTGTAACAGCATTAGACAACAACTGTATCGGCAAACCGAGATAAACATAGCTACTGCAGTAACAACAGCTACTGTAGTATGCTTTTATTACTGTGCAACAGGTTACAGGTTATATACTGCAAAACAAAAAAAAAAAGGAACCTTTGTTTCAATTGATAACTGCTATTTTAAAAATCAGAATAAAAAAGATTTTTTTTCTTCCTTATCTATACTGCTGATATCGGTTTTTTTTTCTTTTTGCTTTTATACTGTTTTTTTGGTTCTCTTCAATGTCTTCTTGCTTTTTTTCCCACCTCTGATTTAATAACGGTTTCACTGATCATCAGTGCTTGTTGAACAGTTACATTTGTGCTTTGATTAAAATCTTGACTTCTTTGATCATACCTCCACAATTCTATGTACCTTTTTTGTGTCTGCGTGTATATATATATATACCCTTATGAACTGTATGAAATTCTATTTTATTTGATGACCGTATAAGTTTATATAAAACAATGGAGTACCAAAAGATGTAAAAGAGGAATATTCAAAGTGAAAAGAATGTTTTTCTTTTATTTTACTTGGAAATTTTTTAAACAAAAACTTCTGTATGTTTAAAAATAATTAGTTTAGGGTTTTTTAAAATTACCTATTTCATTAAATTATACATTTTTTCTGTCTTCTACTATACTGACATTTACAGTATCTTTTGTTACTGTTATTGTTATTGTAGTTGTTGTTGTTGATAATTGTTTTTAGTATTTGGATGAGATGAACAAAAACAATTGTTTTTTTTTTTTATTAGAGTTCAATTAATTTTGAAGAAAAAGAAATGAAAGGAGAAGTAATTAGCGATTGACAACAGTAATGCTGTTCAATTTAGCAAAAAATGGCAACAATAACGCATATAACTGAACTGAGGGTAGCAGTAAGAAGTCCAACACGACTTTATGATTTAGATACATCAAAATTTTCAATATCATCCATCAATGAAAATATCACTTATACTGCTGATCAGCTTGATGAAAAACGTGAAAATAGACGAATCTATGATTATATGTGTCGACTTCTTGAAGTTCGAAAGTAAAGTTTTATTCTGCTACTTTTTTTTTCTACATTTGTTTCATCTACTTTACTGTGACAGATCACTGATACATTGCAACAATTATTTTCTTCTTATTTCTCTCAGATCTGCCTTACTTCCTCTCCTAAAAAAAAAAAAAGAAAGAGTTATTTAATTTATTGGTTTTTATTATTCTCAAAAACTTTTTGAAACTGTTGATAAACAGATGGTAACTGTCGACTGAGGTGTTTAGCTGGATAGCAGAATGCCTTCAAATGGAAAATATTCCTGGTATAACTGATTTGGAAACCGATTTATCCAACGGAGTATTGTTGGCACAGATTGGGAATTTTATAGATCCAAATATAGTTCCAGTAGGAAAAATTGTTGATATAAATAGAGTAAGCTGTTTAATATTTTAGGTTTTTTTTTACTTTTTATAACAATGTATCAATGGTGATTATCAAGTAAGAAGTTATCCCCTATTGTTTTTTTTTTCTTCTATCTCATTATTCTGTGTTAAATGATGAGGAAAAAAAAGACGAAAAATGGCTGTAAATTAAATAATTTTTAGTTTTATTGTAGCAAAAGTTATTGATATTTGGCAAAACTTAACATTTTTTTGTTGTTTTTTTTTGATCAAACAATTCTTCAAAAAAGTTTTAAGGAGCATTATAACAAACTTGGTCTTATGTATCGGCATACTGATAATATTATGCTTTGGCGACGAGCTGTTGAATCGATCAGATTTCCCGAGGTAGTCACTCAGCTATTTTTCTATTAATATTGTAAAAGTTGTCAGATATTTTAGACCGATTTTTTTGTTTAACTTTTTTTTCTCTTCAAATTAAACAACATTGCAAAAATGTTTCATTGAAATGATGAAAATAAATTTTTTGAACTGTAAGCATAAATTTTACTGAAATAAATCAAAACAGTTAAAAATGGCAAAAAAAAAAAAAAAAAAAAAAAAAAAAAA